TGGCTTCATTCGTATTTTGTCCGATTCAGTCGAAACTTTCGGACCAAAATTTCAAAAAATTTGACATTCGAAATGCAGTCATCAATTTATTAAAACGATTTTTAAGTTATAATTTGATAATTAATATTTTTTATTAATATATTATTCAAAAATATGCATTGGTATTTATATTAACAAAATTTAAAGCTGGTGCATTGTTGAAAATGTTACTTAATCCAAATATGGGCATTATTTAAATAGATACTTGAATGTATTCGTTAAATGTACTGGAAATAACAGAAAGACTTGACAAATAAAATTGTATTTTATCCATTTTCCTTCTCTTTCTTGCTGACTTAGAACTGAAGCTTGAGTTCCCAGTGTATGATTAAAAGTGGATTGTTTTTTGTAGTGTGAGTGATTTAAACGTAAAATGATTTAGACAATTATAAATCAAGTTAAAATTCAATTAAAATTTAAAAAACATATTTATTTAAAGTTTTTTAAATTTTTTTTCCTAGACATCTTATACCAAAAGAAAGAACAGAAACCAACGTGCACATTATTGTGGAACTGAACTTTCGGTCAACTACATTGTCACAGAATGTCTCCAATACATAGACGAAATTAACAGCCTTAACATACCAGACACCTTAGCCATCACTGTCGCCGATGTTAATAATTATGAACAGTGACAATAAAATATAATAACAGTAATAATAATATATTATCATTCTGCTGCAGTCGTGGACTGTTATACAAGACTCACAGTCTCCAGATGGCCATCGAAAATTGTAATCACAAAAGTTTATTTGGTTTCTATACACGGCATTACAAATGTAGGCACTAGTTCAATGCAATGCCTATGTGCAAGCAAAATATGTCCATGTGAATAACTCTATACTGACATGACGTGATACAACGTACAAGACTGCATCGTAACTTTGAAATAAAATCATCGTTTACATTAAAATGAAGTCAATGAATGAAGGTGGGACGATGTTGAGTTAGGTTCTTAATTTATTCCGTGCTACATGTACATATGCCACTGGATAAATTTATAACGTTAAAAAAAAAATCATTGGTATACTTATTGTATAACTGGCCGCAGCGCGCTGACCAACAATTATTTATTACCTTGTCAAGCGACTTTTGTACTTTTACAAAGTACATTTGTAACGTTATATTTTATTTTTTTTTCTTCGGAATGAATAAAAATTGATAAACTCTGTAGTTGTTGGTCTTCGTGTACTCGTGTACTTACATTAAATTGCATTAAAATATTATAAATTTGCGTGTATTATACACTGCAGCATAAAGTAGTATACGGTTAAATCGACTATATTGTTACGATTTAATCATAAAAATGGATACTGGATAATTTTTTCCATCGTAAGATCTTAGTCCGACACATTAACAAATCTTTGATGGGCAATATTAATGTACATTGTGTCATAATGCTTGGCAAAAGTACCTGTGTAATATAATAATTCAATATTTCAATCTGTATGTCAGCTGCGTTTGTGCATAGATTTAGATATAGGTTCGAAGCATTTCGTGTTTAGATTTTCAACTAGGTATATAATTACTAATAATTGTACGCTGAGGCCACCTGAAGCATACGGTAAAATAAGAATTAGGTACTTAAAACCGTGAGTCATGTTTTGGGAGTATAAAAAGTTTAAGGAAATTATAGTGTATCATTATTTAATATTTTTATTAATATTTATTATTTCAACAGTTAGGTCCTCATGATAATAATAATACGTTAAGTCATGATAGTACAAGAGTTGTTTTCCATGGTCATAATAATTATTCGCGTTAAAGATTAGAGGCTAAGATGAATGATGATCACTGACCAGGCCACAATGTACCGATACGCTTGTATAATATTATAATATTATAATATTATTATGGTCATATTATTAATGTACTAAAAATTAAAATAACGCAAATCACAACTATTTAATTATATTAATCTTACTATAGTTAACACTTTTCACGTTAATGGGGTACTGAAAAATATTATGACTTCAGTTGAGAAAAAAAAATTTGGCGCCATTGCCGTGGTGACGTAATTTGGTAATGTTGGGGAGAGAGGAAATGAAATTTTGTAGATTTTACCTATCCCCCCCCCCCCAGCACCCATATTAATTGTTGTATGTATCAAAAGCAACTCTGAATACAACCATTGTGACAATATTATAACCATTTATAATATCAGATAAGTACATATATTAATGTATTATACCAGATTTTAAGCACAAAACGAAACAAATAATTACGTAATATTTGAATATTCACATAAAATTGTGAATTTATAAATTATACGACATCGCTGATGTTTATCGTCGCTTTGTGATAAAATTGTATTCGACTGATCAGATGTTTGTATGTCAAATCACAATACAATATAACATACTAATTAATATATTTGTGCCATAATAGTGCTTATCACGAAGAAATAATATTATCTTATTAGTTATTACTGTAGATTTAATTATATCAAAAGAAATTCAGATTTTTTCGTTTATTTCTATAAAATATACTATTAATTTCTCTGCAAGGCAAATTGAGGAGTCATCGATATGTTTTCGGGTATAGTGAAGTGAAAAAAATATCTAGTAACATGCTATAGTTTGTTAGAAATTATATTAAAATTGTTTTTTTTTTTAATTTGCGTTTCTGTAGAAATAAACAAAGCGTTCCGAAAATCGTCTTCGAGAACCGATGATCTTGAGAAAAAAAAGTTGTACTCAGCCCAAAAACATATTATCTATGTTATGAGTTGTTACGACACCTAAATCTTCTCCCCCCCCTTAATTATGCCACAGTGTGGTGGTATTACTACTATCACCGTACCACATAAATAGGTTTTTAACTACGATTCAACATTTCAACCGTATAATAATATATAATATTGACAATTTAATATTATAGCTCTGGGCACGAATCGTAAGATCATTAATCGAATCGATTGTCAAGAATTAATATCGGATTATAATAATAATTATATTTCTATTGTCGCGTTTGCTGGCGGTGCTATGGACGATAAATTGTAACTCGGAGTAGTATTATTATTTTTCTTTCGATTATTCGTCGACAATAGAATAACACTGCGAGTGCGCGTGCGCCTATACATGGCAGGCGACAGTGTTTTTTATTTCGACTGGCGGTACAACAGGTGCATTATATTCAACAGGTATCTGTATCGCGATACACATAACATTCTATATTGTACCGAAATAATAAGTTAAATGGCCGATTCGCGCCGTTAGCCATCACCGTATGGAGGTATAAAACACCGTGTCTTACAGGTTACACTATTATTATTTTATTATAGCCTAACCCAACCAAGCCCACTCGCCACATAATGCATACTCGGCTGCGACACGGTGGTGTGTGCCTTACATAAATCGTGTAAATGTGAGTCCCTATAGAGCGGCGGTGAGTTACCTTGAGCTTGAAATATTATATTATATCGTGGAAACGCGACGTCGTCGGTTCATCTCGGTTCAAACAGCTCAATATATTACTCAGGCATATTCTACTGCCATTATAATATAATACTAATCCTAAATAATAATAATAATAATAATAATAATAATAATAGGTAGTATACGTATGATATTATTATATTATTGACGGCGGCGTTCGTGATAAGTGTATACACTGTATGTCCGCAGGCCATTCGTACCTATATTATTGTACACGTAATGTACTAACGCCGCAATTATTTATATTATTATTATTATTATTATTATTATTATTGTAGTCGTATAATGCCAAATTGAGCATCGTAGTTCTTATATTATATGAGTGCACGGGCGAGAGGAGCCGACGGGGAAGAACGGCGCATTAATATACTGACCGCTTTAGTACCGGCAAATATTATTATGTACTCGAGTCCGATAACGTGCAAATCGTTTAATATTTTAGCTGCGATCTGCACCGAGTGCCCATTTATATAATATCATACAGATCGTGTTCTATAACATCGAACGCCTTCGCGGTCGGTCAGAGAATGTCCCTTCGCCCGGCGAGCGAATCATAAAAGTCGCGTTTATCGTATTTATCTCCTGCAGGGGTATGGTCAACAAAATGAATGTGTTTGCGAGCCACGCGGATAAATATAATGATATCGAGAGCCACAATGCGTACGAACACATTTTACGATTTTAATAAATCGATCAGAGTACAATAAAATATAGCTATCTCGGCCCATAATATATTACAATAATAATAAATACATTTTGATTTTTGTCAATTAGACCCGACGGTTGGCCACCGCTGGCCGTATATTATGCAATACATCTGCACGTTATGATATTACCGCGTTCACCCAGCCCGAGTTGATGATGTTTACGAGAATAATACTTAGATAATAGGCCCGTGTGAGTGCGGTAATTCCAGCACGTTCACGTTGCAGTATATTACAATATATTTTATATTATAAATATATAACCTAACCCAACCCACAATAACCTACCTGCGAAGTGCGTGTGCGTGTGATAACGTAGCCGACGGGGAGGATAATAATATCGTCATGATTACGATCCAGTCAGCATTATAGAATATTATTATTATTATTATTATTATTAATTTAACGTATACTTCTGCAAACGTATACATGATATTCGTATTTTATTCTCGAGTATACGGTCACAACAATCGTTTATTTTATACCACCGCGTAACCGGTCGAATGGCGGCGGGACCGGTTTCCCGGACAAACGGAGCCGGACCGCGACGGCGACGGATGAAGGAGCAGGAGCCGCCGGTAGCCGCGGTGACCCCTTCCGCGGGGGGGTCTCGCTGGGGGGCACAGCAGCGCGTTGTACCCTCTCTCTCGCGTCCCCCTGCACGCCACACTGCCGTATCCGTTGTTTCGCACACAGGCGTATCGTTTGGTTTTTTTTTCTTATTCCCTTCCTTATCGCTTATATTCCCATTATTCTTCCTCTTCTTCTTATTCTTCTTCTTCGCCGGCTGCGTCTTCGGCGTCTTTTCCGCCGAGTCCTCCTCCGCTTGCTCCTCCCGCACAGGCATACGCCACTGCGGCTATTTAAGATCAAACCGTTCGGCACTCGAGACACAATTGGACCGCAGTGACTTGAAAGAGACGCTTGCAGTTTGTACTTTCGAGAACCTCCGTCCGTCTCAAGTCCGTACCTTCCGTCAGATCATCATACAGTTATCACCATGAAGGTAAGATTTTCGGCACGAGCCACCTAAATCATATGCATTTTAGTAGTACACACGTCGACGGCTAAAGTTTACCTGCTGAGCAGCGAACGTTCGATTAAAAAAAAAATAGGCAAAAGATTAGTTTTCAAAATATTAGTCGAAATATTATTCCAGTTAATTGGTAGATAATGTTATTAACACGGCCAGTTCATCATAAATTGCACTCGGCAACCATTAATATTTAACCTGACAAAAATGGTGGTTCGAAAACTAAATTATAGTAAGTATGACGGACCACTTTTTTTTTATGAAATCTCAACGGTTGCAAAGATGAACTGGACGGGTTGTACCTTATCGAAACGGTACGATTTCAATAGCTCAAACAAATGAAAAGTTATGTTCAAAAACCAAGTATAATGCGTGTTATAATTAAGGTCTGGTACGTATTTATAATCAAATTTCAGTTTTGCTTTATTTGGAAATAGCAAAACACGTTCGAGTTGTTTATAATTTCTTTTCACATTTATTGTTTAAAAATTAATCATTGTTCAATATTAAGTAAATGTTTATTAGTTACTTGGGATTTGACCCTTCGATTGAGCACTTTACCAATACGTTTTGAACTGGTGTTCAAATAATGTCTAAACATAAATTAAATAAATAAAAAAAAAGGTTAAACACTATGTCGATCGACTGACCATCAATGTTTTCGGGCGCCCTGCAGGTCTCCTACGCAGTCGCCCTCCTGTTGGCCGCCGTGGCCGCCGCTTCGTCGACGGAAGTCCAAAAGTCGACCGCCGCCCCGTCACCTGCACAGTCGCCAACGGCTTTCCCCGCAGGACCAGGAGGCTTCCCGTATCCGGCCCAGAGCTACCAGTACACTTCCGAGTACGCCGGACCGATCGCCAAGTCATCGTTCGCACCAAAGGCCGCCGTCCCGTCGTCTGCTTTCGGTAAGTCGCACACAGACGTCAATGCATACGGTTACCATCGTTACTATATCTGTGCACTGCACATCACCGCAACCACGTAGTCAACCATCCACGACGAGCAGATTTTCGACACGGTTAGCGCAAGTTAACATTTCGTCGTTAATCAAAGTCATGTCTTATCGACGCAAAGTGACTACGGTTGACGATAAAACCCATAGTTACAAGACAAATACATGATATAACAAAGACAGATATTAACTAGGCATTACTCTACACTGAGGTGAAACCTCGTGTCGTAGAGTAAGAGTACATTTTTTTTTTTGTTTTTTTTTTTTTTGCTACGTATTGTTACACGCAATAACCAATTCGCTACCGAAATCTGTCAAAATTGTCGCTGAATATCTTTCTGAAATCCCTAATTGCGATTCCTTTGAATAATTCCGAGGTGCGAAATCGATGTCGCTATACTATCTCCTTTGGACGAGCACGAATACAACGCCTTACGTCTCTCCCTCCGCACATAATCATTAATTATGTGTATTCTGTAATAACCGTGAGTGGTACATCTTTTTTTCAGCTGCCTACCAACCGTACCAGCAACACCAACAGTACAATTTCGGACCAAACCAACAGTACTACCCGGGTTCCGGATACTCCGCCGCCGGACAATACCCGACGCCGTACTCGGCTTACCCGTACTCCGCACAACCGTACTCTGCCCAACCGTACTCCGCCCAACCGTACTCCGCCCAACCGTACTCTGCCCAACCGTACTCAGCTCAACCGTACTCTGCCCAACAGTACAACGGCGGCTCTTACTCGCCATATCCGGGCGCCTTCCCCTCGTACTACGGTAATCAATTCGGCGTCCCGTCCGCCGCCGCCGCCACCGGTCAATACAACAGCCATTACTCGGCAGCCGCCGCCGCTCCGTACAACGGCCACTACTCGGGCGCCGCCTCGCCGACCGTCACCCCGTACTCGGCTCTGCCATCCGCTTACCCACAACAACCTCTGCATCACTCGCCGTCGTTCTACAACAGCGTCGCCGCCGGCCAACAGTACAACCCGTCACAACAGTACCTCTCGCAACACCAACAGTACCCGTCACAACAGTACCAGTCAATCTACGCCAACTCACCGGCCGCCCCCGTCGCCGCCGCCGCCGCCTCCAGCGCTTCCGATTCCGCCAAGGCCTCGGCCGAGAAGAAATGAACGATATATGATCATCATGGACACCCCACCGCAGGACTTTTGACTTAATGTTTTGACACTTAGGATAATATAATACGAGCGTTTAAGTTAGTTTTATTATTATTTATTTTTGCAACACTTATTGCCATATAATATTGTATAATAAAATTAAGCGTAATATATTTAACGTAATTATATCATAATACCGTTTTAAATGCACTACATTATCATAATATTATGAGTCATACACGTTTCCTAAAATCCAAACAGATAATATGTGTTATTTGTGTTATTGAACGAGAAATTTGAACTAAAATACATTTCCAAGCACGTCGACAGAGAAAAATCACTTCACACGTATAGTTATAGGTACGCATGTCATATAATACCAGGCACGGATCCAGAGCAAGGGGGGGGAGGGGAGAGGTGCACAATTTTTGTTAATGTAAAATTAAAATATTGGAATCACCGTCCACCATGAAATAAGATAGTGCTATCTTAGTTCGTGCGCCCCAGAATGGTACGTATAATAATATTATATTTTATCATCAGACATACAATATGTAATTTGAAGTATAGTAATATCTGTAGAATTATAAAAGAATTTGGGAAATAATATGTCCGGGAGTAGGCCTGGGTAACTGCGCCCCCTCCCTGGATCCGTCACTGTATATGATACGCCAATATTTTGACGACTTCGTGAGTTAATAGTATAATAATTAAGTGTTTATTGCATGACGTATACAAACAAGACATCGTATACCTGGTAATTGGTAAGTACTAAGTAGGTACCTATGTTATAATGCACCTTAGTGCTGGTTTATGATATTTGGTATATTATGAATTATGATTTTTATGTCATACAACGACAACGTATACATCTTACTGATACGAGTGCAATAGAAGGACAAATTATATAGGTATTGCAAAGAAGATGTGAATAATAACGTGATTTTATCGAGAGACGACCTCCTGATCGATGTCCGTGCGATGAGATTGAAGATTAAGTTTGTCGCATTTACATCGTGATCGTGGCGGAAATGTCTTTCAAAGCTGATTTTAACGAGAAGACGTTCAACCGCAAACGTTTTTTTCAGTGCGTTACTTCTGTAGTTCTGAGGTTATGTCGATAACGCGTGCGATGAACGCAATTGCTTCAAACATCTTTTTATGAAAGAGACGGACACTTGACAGTTGATAGTTTCCCTCGAATCGTATGAGTTGAAACAAAAGCATATATCTATAATGTAATAACTTTGCGATTGGCGTAAGAGCTGCAGACTCAGGTGATGTCACCTGCTATACTGCTATAGTATATTATTATTATGTGCTATGAAAAGTCGAGAACTATCTCTGTCCTAGTTTGGACCAGAAAGCAATATTCTATCACTTTTTTTTTTAATGTAGGTATGCATATTTTGAGTCGAGTCAACAATACTCAGTGCAAGACTTAAATCCTACTGCGGGCTGAGATATAGGTCAACCAAGTCACGGTCGAATAGTCCAATAGTAGCAGGCACTTGTGTCCTATACAATGTCACAGAACTGACTGATGTAATTTCCCCGTCGTATAATTAATTTTTTGTGGACAATGACGAAAAAATAATTTTTGTAAAAAAAAGTGTTTCGTTTGATTTCTAAGCTTTCTAGGGTAAACATTTTTGACTATTTTGATTTTTTCTGTTATTTATATTTTGTGTTAAATTATTAATAATTATCACAATAGTTGTGAGTGAACTGTACAGATCGATAAGAGTCGCTAGTAAAAACGTGTTGCCGATATTAAGATTACTTTTAGGTTTTAATTGGTAATGTGCTGTATTGTTTTTGCTAGACATATCGATAAATATAAGGATGCCTTTTCTAGGTATCTATCGATCGAAATGGATTGTTGTTGGGTAAATTGCACTTCAGTCCGCATTTGTCGTTTATAGTTGTTTTATCGCGTAGTTCTTACCTCTACTATAAAATTGTGAATACAAATGATTCTGCCATTTCAATTTTCAATACTCCGAAAGATAAAAAAGTACGTTATAAAATTAGGAAAAAAGTTTCGAAAACGATTCTCCCGAATTTATGGTTCTAAATTTTTTTTTAAACAAATTATGTTGTTGATTTAGCGGAAACCTAGTACACTACATTTTATTATTTATATTGCTTTTAAATCTGAACCCTAAACATTTCAAACTCTATGTAAACTCCACCGACCGGTGACAAGACATTGGGATCCAAAATATTAGCTGAATATGTAAGATCGACTGATATAGATAAAAAAAGGTACATATGATGACAATTGACAATAATGAAACAATATGTAGAAAAATATTATTTCAAATCATTTTGTGTTTGCGTTTCATTTTACATAGAATAATATCTATTATCTCCATTTACTTGAAGCTAATATACATTGTTACTGAAAATGATTTAAATATAATGAGGTCTTGCTGCGTATCATATTTATAAAAGCTCGATCTGGACTCAATTGAAATTTAGGTAAAAGTGTCCGAAATGAAATGGTGCAAAATCAAAAACGATCGTGATAATACCATTGTCTAAAATGAACTAAGGCAAACTCTTTGGCAAAGTTGTTGCAAATTAAAAATTGAATAAAATATGTACAGATGAAATAGATTATTACGTAAATACTAAATATGACTTTAAATGTATTTACAACATTTATAATATTTTTAAAAAATAAAGAATTCATAAAGTTTTTTTTTTAAAGTCATATAACAGCTATCATTAAAAATGGTCTTCATACCTACTATTTGATTAGAATTGATAACTTTAAAAGACAATTTTAAAAAGAAAATCATACAATTTACATAAACACATATTATTATCACCTAAATTTGATCTTGAAAATTTTACCAAAGGCATTCTTGATTTGGGACATTTTTTTCAGTCATTTTTCTGACTACCATCGACATGTCGTAACACTCGTAACCAACTTACTATAGAATATTAATTTGTCATATATTATAATTTGATTAGTGTAATGTGTTAATAAAAGTGTAATACACATGTTGTAAACTTTAATGAATGTATAATTTATTGATTGAAACCCATAAAAATGCTACAAAATTGAATAAAAATACATGTAGATTGGAGATAAACCGTTAGAGTTTACGTACATGTGTCAGTGGAATATTTTACACCCGCCGGTTGCACTGTTAACATTGTCAGAGTCAATACTATTACCATAGTCAATACAAGTAATACTCAATTGTTCTGTAACTTCACAATTAAAGTCCAACCGATACTTGCTTAGAAAATATACGCATGCCAGATACGTACCTATCTACCGGGGTACGTGTTATATTTGTTAATTAAATTTTTTATTGAAACTTATGCAGAATTATAGAAAATTAATAAAAAAACTAAGCTCCAATCTAAATTTGTCTTGTACGTCTGGTCGCATACTATATTATAATATTTAACATTTAACGATTCCATCAATGACAATATTATTGTAATAAATAATAACAATATATTGTGTCCCATTTTGATTGTAAATTATTGTTTTACCTCCTTCGTCTTTTTCCGAAAAGTATTTCCCAACTACATGGACAGAAAAAAAATGATTTAACCGCGAACAAAAAGATTCGTAAAAAAATATTAAATGCCAATATTGTCGAACGTCGACGTCGGTGGCGGCGGCGGAGAGTCATCGATCCGTCGGAGGTCTTCGACCCTCCGCCGCCGGCATCTAATCGCGGCGCGTAAGCGTGTATGATATACATCAGGTAAACGTCTATAATAGATATCCGTATCGGGTTGAACATTGCTTATACATTATTACAACAGAAGAAATGTATTGGTTATCGACGGTTATAGCATCGACTCCGAGATCCGCAAGCCGAGAACTCGAGCTTGTATACCACCTGGCGCGACAGAAGAGCAGCCATCGCGATGTCACCAAACCGACCGTATGGCGATATTAATATTATACGTTTTTCCGTATTAAATTGTATACGGATGGCCGACAGGACAGGGATCAGAGGAGATGGATATAGTAGAACGCCTTAATGGGCAAGAAAAAGATGGATGGCCGAGCATCCTTAGGCGATTTTTACCTCCTAGAGTGAAGGAGAGAGAGAGAGAGAGAGAGAGAGAGATATTTTAGTGAAACAAATATATATCTATTTGATATTATCGACGACGAAGCACAAATAATATTGAACTATTGTGCCCGAGTAGCTAATGTAATATGCATACAGGTATCTGACTGTCTACAATATTCTTATTACGTAATTATGTTAATTGAATAGGAAAAAAATTAACACTATCTATGAGAGCGTAGAAAAAAATTGGGAAGTAGGTGCGATCTTTACTGTACAGTCCTTACAGATATAGACTGTAGAGTGTAATTTGTAATTTAGTAGGCAAAGACTTTGTAGTGAATATGTTAAATTTGAATTCAAACGATAAATGATTCAATGTGAAAAACGATTCTGAGAGAAGACTAGCTCTATCAGCCCATTATATTACCATTTACTATAAGTATACATTTTTATGATATGGAAATTAAAGTATTTATTTTACTATTCATATTATAATAGGTTGATTTATATGTTTTTTTTTCACATTCCGAAAACAAGGCATTCATTAAACAATAAATTCAATATTGTTCATTTTTAATTATTTTAATAGAATATATTTTTATAATATATTATTGCTATTAACTTTGAAGTCATTATCACATTATCGCTTAACCAAAATACAACGGTGTGAATAGGTTCGTTGTGCGTATATAGTATAAAAAGGCAATAACTTAAAATTAATAAAAGTTTCCACGAATAAATAAAAAAGTATGCTTCTATGAAAAATATGTTTTGGGATTGAAACTATGTTCTAATGTGGTAATATGTTTAGTAAATGAATATGAAATTCTAAACACCAAAAATCTAAAATTCACTAAAAACATTTTTTTTTTTTGTGAAATAAACACTACTATTTATTTAATAACGTATAATTGTATTCATCGTTTGGCCATCCAATCTAAAAAAAACTAATATTAATAGGTTTATTATGTATACATGTTTTGTCCTAGAAAATTTATTTTGTTGTTGTTGTGAAATCAGCTTGTATCTATTTAACTATTATACCTACCTCGACAATCGCTTAAGAAAATAATGAATATGTT